CTGGAAAGCAAAAATACACTTCACAACATGTGCAGATAGGAGATGGCTCAGGTGCATTGACCAATAATAGATAAGCACTTACATGGGTGCCTGTCTAGCTTGGGTACTGTAGTGTTAGCCGTGTCTGCGATATTAGAGCGAGTCCGGTCAAGTCCGTTAGTCAACGGGTAGGACGATCGTGATGCGATGAGATATCAGGATGTGTATGAGTAGAGCCAGTAGGAGGTGGTCTTTGGAAGGATAATCATCACTTTGAGTTCGGGAGTTGGAATCCGGTGGGTCCCGAAATAAGAGACAGGTGCACTGCCGTAGAAGGACCCAAGCATCCACTGTATTCAGTAAACAGTTGAGACATTGTTAGGGTAGTTTTTGAAGTTAAGCCGACGCTTCTTCGTTTCTAATTATTCTTTTATTATTAAAATTTTTTGGGCGCTTAGTAAACTGCCTATTTATTATCAATAGACTGATTATTAACTGTTACCTTTCTGTTTACAACATTTTAGATGTTTAGGAGGAACATCTCTTGATTGAACTGGGTTGTGGGGTAGGCCGGGGGACTGGGGGCTTCTGAAATAACAGACAGGTGCTGGTATAGTTTTCATACTGTTCAGCTGAGAAGAGTTCAAACCCCCTTTAACTAGCCCAGCATAGCAGTATTGATGCCTAGGCTACAGCTTTTTTTCAATAATAAAATAAAAATATTTTGCTAATTTTGTATAAGTTGTCTTTGCTTTATCATCAAGCCATACTAGACGTAGATTTGTTACCTGCAGCAGCGGTCTTAAAGCTAGTGCATATGGTTTCGCATTGCGAATAATGAAATTGATTAAGTCGGTGACAGCAGGGTGGTGTGCTAACCTACCGTGGCGCGAATGGGAGTTGAAAGATATCTTATGATTCGAAATGGTCAATCAGCTAGATACTGGCCGTTACTGCTTAAGGGAGAGGGGAATAGGTAGCATGGTTATGTGTTTGGACCTTATTCTAATAGTAAGATCTTGTGCATGTTCCACTGAAGAGTATCGTCACTGGCTTAAATGTGGAACCGTACCTATCACCTTTGCCTAGGTCTGCCCCTCCGGTTACGTTGTCGGGAAAAATATCCGCGATGTCGCCTACCCCTAGGACGAGTCTGTGGAGCTATGCATTCCCTTCCTCTTTCCATTTCCCGCCCTAGGAGTATGCGCAGATGCCTGTATTCTTGACTATCGGTCTGCCCAAATAGCCTTTCAGACAGAGCGACCACTGCATGGCACCAACTACTCTCCCCGATGTGACCACCAGGATCAACATTGTGATCTCGAGTAGATGATACCTCGGGGTGAACTAGAGGCGGGCGCACCGTACTACACATAGCGCGTTTACTAGCGCCGTGCTCCAACATTAATATGAACAACTTGAGCCAGGTGTGGCGGTCAGCCCAGTCTCCTCTTGATTCATGATGATGGTGAGCCATGTGAAGGGTGCACTGCCAAATTGTGTTTCCACAGTAAGACTCGTTTGGATTCCCTCCGCGGTCGAGCTGGTAAGCGATCTGGACAAGGTCAAGAGTATGGCCCCTAGTGATGTTATACTGAGACCAGTTATCGAACCCCATGGCGTAAACCAATGTAGGGACCGATAGGTGGCATATAGGGCCTACTTGGGGGCCATTGCACATTCCTTGACACATGACGGTAGACAATTTGTAATATAGATACCATTCGAGATGGGTAATTTTCGCTGCCCATTGCGCGCTATACGTTGATACATCTTCCTTCCAAAGATGAAGTTTTAACCAGTGGTCCTGACCGGAGCAGTATGTAAGGACACCATCTAGATGATCGATTAGTCTGAAGTCGCGGATAGTTGGATGTCTGAGAGAATATCTGGCCGCTTTCTGAAAAAGCTGAAGCCCGGTGTCACAGAGATTCCTTTGTGCTGTTGACCTTCCTACTTCTTTAGCTTCAACCACGAGACTCATCAATGAAGCGGTCTTTGGGTTAAAGAAAGTGTCGGGGACTTGGGCAAGTAACCGGCTCCAAACGTGAGGCTGCTCCAGAAAATCCTTCACAGTTCTATGAAGATAACAAATTCTCTGGAAGCGCAACGGTTTCCCTGAGGCATGAATAGGGGGTTTCGGGTTTCAGACCAGTGGTAACGGTGCTCATATTCCGAATCCCAGGCGGCAGGAGGAGCTTCCAATAATCCCATGGTTCGACTATTTATTCTTGCCCAAAAGGCTGGTAATTTCTGATTTAATTCACTGAGCCTCTGTTCAATTTCTCCGTCAGTGGCTATGGGGTCGACTTCCATGGCAAGTACATCTGTTAATTTTGAGAATCGTATTGCTTGGGATAAGGTCAGAACGTCCAAGCTGTGGTCTGAAGCAGAAAAAATCTGGAAGATCTTGGATGGCTCGGTGGGAGTCGTATCCAATCTCGTCTGCAGGTGTTCAATCTGGTCCCCATTTCGAAGACCATCGATCAGCGACTTGACGACCAGAAAAACCCAGAGAAACACACCCGATGCTCTTCGTACAATCTCTTTCAATAATTCGTCGACCGCTCGGCTGTTTTTACTATTAAATCTTGAGAGAAGTTTTAAATGAATGTTGTTACGTAGCTTGCTTTCAACGTATCGTTGTATGTCCGTTCGATTTAGATTCTGGACCTGGAGGCTAGGCGCACCTCGGAAAACAGCTTGGAAGACTAGCCACGGCCGGCTCGAGACACACAATTTCACCCACGGGGAAGAACAAGCGAGATTGTGCATATACTCAGCGATGTCTCCAGGGTGTCCTTCAAACTCGTCTAGGCCATCGATAAAAAAGCATAGCTTCAGATCCTTGTTTGCCAGGGTCAAAAGTCGCTCAAAGGCTGTTCGTAAGCGACCTTGGGACCATTCTTCAGTACCTATCTCCGCTTGGTACATGGCTTGCCTATACTTGCGATCCCACTCTGTTCTGAACACCTCACAGATGAGTGACGGTTGGTGTTTGAGCACTGAATGGAGCAGAGATCTCAAAAGGCCAGTTTGGGACCTCTGTTCTACAGTGCCGCCTGACCAGAGAAAAAAGAGGCCAGTTACCATCGCAGCACTACCGGCCCAAATGTCGAGTAAATCATGGGTGAGCTTATTGTCCCAGATATACTTCATCAGAGTCGACTTCCCGATGCAGCCTTTCCCTGGACCCAATACATTCCAACCCATTCCCTGAGCCAAGAGGCGAAACTATCCCAAGGTAAATCGTGCGCTTGAAGGTCTCGCAATATCCATTGACATGTCTCATTATATTCGTTTGGCACTTCCTCGTAGCGGTAGTTGAGCTCTGTAAACCTTAGACTGCCTATAATATTGTCTTCAATTCGGTTTGCTACTTCGTCTAGGTGAGTAGCAGGCGCCCTGTTGGCTGACTGTGTAATCAATCTTGAAATCTTTCAGGCTTTTCTTCATTTCTGCGTCTCTAGCTAGATAGATCTCGTAGAAGGATTTTGATTGAGCCTTAATATCCTTGAGCGCATTCAGTACATCAAGTTCTTAGACTAGCTATGATCGATGAACCGTACGTATCTCGGCTAGTTGCTCTACCAGCGCTTGTGTCGTGCGACTTAAGTGAACGAACCGCTCTTCTTCGGCGATGAATGAGATATTTGGGGTTTCTCTAGAGTATGGTTAGGGGTGCATGTAACATGGAACCGTGACCTAGTACACAAACCTCACTACAATCAATACTTGTGTATCAAGGTCAGATCGAAGATGCATCAGCTGAGCAATCATTGCGTCTATCTCGGCCCTTGCCATTACAGTCTTCAAAGCCTGCCGGAAATGGAAGAGTTTCCGAAACTATGACCGCGCTGGTAACTTGAGCTCGACTAGTCTTTTAACTAGTTGCCGAGATAAGGAAGTGCATTCTGTGCAGATGCACCGAAGCGGGCCGTCGGCCTCAGCATATCGTAATCTGAACTCGTTGGAAAGATGAGCGGTCTTTGAAATAGTAACGTGGCGGGCGGGAGGAAGGGGGTTTTCAACTGCTTGAATAAGGGCTTCGAGCCATTCAACGGCAGTCAGAGTCTTTGCATTCTCCTCACATAGACCACTAGTTGCGCGGTATAACTGTGAGCTTTTACAGACAATCGTGCTCGCGAAGTCAATGAACTGGACGACCGCGGCAGCAGTCGATAGAGCTGAGAGAGGATCGAGCACCATTTCGCTTTTCTTTTCTCCCTGAATGGTGGAGCTCGAGAAGGTTTAGCGATGAGCTGCAGGGCAGCAATCGTCGGAGCAGTTCAATGCCCGCGGGGAGAGGGAGGTCAGGGGGCATATCTGGCAGACCTCAATAGAGCCGCTGAAGACTGTCAGCATGGCAATTCCGCATCACATTCTCTACGTTTGTAGAACAGTCCCGGAAGGCGAAATTTAGCTTAGGCACACAACAACGCATGAAGCCATGTCTCTGTGAGGTAGGTAGAAAAACAGGGAATCCAATTCCTAAATTTCGTTTGGCCGCCTGTGTGGGAAATCGACACCTAGGAACTGAAGGATGCCATTGCCCGAAGCGTGTATAAAGCAAGCGCTAGAACTGGCACTCGTTTCTGGCGGGGTTCTTATGCCCTGAAGGTTGTACCTTATTGGGCTAGCGGATTGCCTATTATAGTTATATTATTTCCTACAGTGGCTAGCTTCTTCTCGCGCTTTTACATAGTATTGGGTTAATAGGAGACGCCTTAAGAAATCTGACAAGAGATTTGCCAAACATGGCAAGCAGCAATAGCGCGATCCTTTAATAGACTGGCAGCGACGAGAATTTCCTCTATCCATCTTAGGCATTAGAGTTTACTATGTAGATTAAGGAATGCCAATCACCTATTCTAGAGTTTCCGTTCTTTAAAGCGGAGATTTACATCTACTAATAGGAGCCGGAACCCACTTTCGGGTAGGCATTTCCTCCCCACACGGGCTTAGAACTCGTTTTAGCGAGCCACGATCCGACACACAGGAAGTTCATCCCTTCCCTCATGGGGCTTGTGGTTTAGTGGTATAATACTCCCTTAGCATCTGATGGTCTTCTCAAGAAGCTGATGAGAAAATGGGAGTGGTCCGGGGTTCGATTCCCCGCGAGTCCAACTTCAGAGGTTTGATTCCTCTTGTACCCTTATTTTTTTCTCTCTTTTTGCTCTTCCCCTGAGCTTGATACCCCTAACCGTAGGGAAGGCACAGGGGAGGGCCGTATACCTCTCACAGTGGATGGCTCGTGTCAATCACCATTCCTTCTACAACATCAATATTACACTCATTGCTATTCAATTCAATACCAATAAATGAATTCCCTGGTAATTGACAAGCTATATACATTAGCATCCGAATTATATTTGTCTCCCTTCCACAATCTGCCGCCTGACGTAATTCTTTAACACCGGCCTCACTTAGACTGAATTGTGACAGATTGTTCAGCAACTGTTTCAAGAGCCATATAATTGGGGGCGATGAGGAGTTGGCGTTCTTTGTCGTAGCTGTGAAGAATCAGCGCGAGCGCTGAGCTGCGCCACAGCGGAATTCCTCCAAGGTGGTTCTTCCGGATTACCCAGAGCACGAATATGATGGCCAGAAAATGCATAAAAAGGGGAAGCACCATCCACTGCCAGAGGACGTTCACAAATACGATTTTGTTGAGTCGAAAGCCATTAGCAGGCTTCCTATTGTTCGTGCCCGCGCGAACGTACTGGGACATGCCGTCAGCCATGGTTCGCATGATGGTCGAGATGTCCGCGTTGACCAGTGCGACTCCGACACCACTCTCGGTTGAGGGGGTTCCCGAGACCATATCGGAGCGAAACGAGGACGAATCGAAGAATTCGAGCATGTTGATCAGGTCCTGCTGGCATAGAGTGATGGTGATAGGAAGAGGTTGGCCATCGGCGGTGGTGTTGTAGAAGAAGGCGCTATTGAGCGTGTTTCCCTTGGGAGCCCCCGAGAAGTTTTGCGTATTGGCCCAATACCCAGGGCCGAGGCGGAACGCAGTGATAGGTCCAAATTCGTTGAGGGTGCCGTTAGACCAGATGCCTTCGAACTGATGCATAATGAGTGACAGAGTACACTCAGTTACATCCTCGTCAATGATTTCTTCGTCATTGTAGGAGCGATCGTGTCCGCTCGTAGATCGAAACACGCCAATTTTCAGCAAGTCGGATGGCGCAACAGCGTCAGATGTGGTATTGAGGAAATCGGGGCTCCATGTAGTATTCAGATTGAGAATGGTAGCTGAGGCATTTCGAACATAGTTGGTGCTGAGGCCGACACCACTAGGAGTTGTCATGTCACAAGTCAACTTCGACCCGGATTTGCTGCATATTTTCGTCTTAGCAGTGGCCTGGGTGACGTTTTCGCAGGAACAGACAAATCCTATCGAATGGTAGGTGCTTTCCCAAGCACAGACGCCTGGACAGATGAACTCGGGCGATGACCCGATGCCAAAGACTCCCTTCATGATGGCGGCTCGAATGCCGGGATCCCTGCTCGTCACTATTGCCATGCAGGGTAAAGATTAGCCAAAGTCTGCCACACGTTGGTGATTTCAGGCTGGATCTAGGCTCTTTCGCCTTGCTTACCGTCGGTTTTGGTCAGCGTGTTAAGAGCCGACTGCTTAGGGAATGTATTGTAATCTACCGCGAAGTCGATCTTGATGCTCGCGTCTGTGGTCTTTATCTCAACCTCCTTTAGTTGAACTACCTGTTGCGTGAAAGAACCAACTCCCAGGCCAAGCACAGTGACGAGAGCACCTAACACGAGAATGCTTCGTGGCAGCCAAAACAATGCCTTCACAGCGCCCCAAGGTCCCCGACTGCACTCATCGTATATCTCGAAATTACCCAGCTTCTGTGGTGCCGCCTGATAGTCAACCCATTTTATCTGGCCGATTGTGCCGCCTACAGAATGCATAAGCGCCGTATTGGTGACGGTTGTTAGGACGGCGACGACGGTGTTGATAGACAGGGGAGCTCTCCAGTTCTCAAAGTAAGGCTCCCCATTCATCCATATGAGGATACCAATGAGGACACCCTCAAAGAGAATGCTTAGAACGAGAGTGATGAACTCTCCTGTCCATCGAGCTGACGCCTGGAGTTGATCGTTGGAGTTGTCGGAGCTGGGTTGCGCAGGCGCAGGGGCGAGAATCTCGACCTTAACCTGCGCTGCTGATGAGTTCTTCATCGCGTAATACGTAGTAACTGCGGATGTGTTTATATTGTGATGTTTGCGTCATTTGGCGACCAATGAGTCTGGTAGCCAATGTCGGGCTACAAGTGATGATAGGAATGTTGTGGCATTCGTATCCGTACCTCATCAGCTCAGGTCGATCAAGCGTGCCAATTCGTAGCCAACACGCATGGCAAGTTATCCCTCCCACATGGATAGCCGCTAATTTTTGGACCCCAATGTCGACATGGGGGAGGCAGGGAGTTGTCTTACCTTTCTCTAGGCGAAACACCAGCTTTTCTAAATACAGAATCACATATCATCAGTATAATGCCTGATAATGAGGGAAATCACGCGTTGAATTATGGTGGCGTATCTCCAGGCCTTGGGGATGATGCGGACTTGTTTCCAGGCTGTACAGGCACTATACAGAACCGACAGCCCGCTGTTATAGGTAAGCGTTGTAAAACTAACATGAGCTTAACATTGCTCTTACGGGAGCCAAGATACCTAGATCAGGTGGATGCTGAGGCTGACGGCATAATCAACGAAGGAGCTCATTAATATACCTAAAGCGGGTTACTTGGCTTCACACCTGCATAGGAGGAAGTTCGAGCTGAGTTCTTTGTTTAGGCACCTAGTCTTGGTTTAACGTTCGACTTTTGCTTGGCCTTGCTCAGCCTGACCTGATCTGCTTAGTCATCGCTTGGTGATAGTCAGTTTCAGGCGGTAAGAGACCAACTCCCAGAACGAAAATGGCATTTAGTAGCCCGTATTTTCGGGGCTGAGTATCTTTGCCGTACTGGAGATAGCCGCCTTGTCTGCCAGGAGAATTGGCTTTGGAGTGAAGTCACCTGTAGGTCACAGGTGGTTAGATCTACAGGTTAAAGCTTAGGTAATTCATTAATTCACAAGTTTCTCTGGGCCTAATTGAGAGAATTGTGATCCTCATATGCCTGTAATTATGAATACAATCACTCTGGAGTGTTCTCACTACTACTTAAGCACGCTAGTATCTAAAATTGTTATTCTAGGAGTGCAGAGTTAAAGTCTGATTTCGTATAGGCTAATATAAAGGGGAACGTTCAATTTTTTTACTTGCTCAATATTGTCGAGAGGCTTGGTTACAAGTAGCTTTACCTAAGAAGGTGCTAATAACTTAGTAACTGTATAAAAGGTTTCAAGGTTACAAAAAGTCTACGAATATAGTTTCTACTATATAGGCCTTATCAGGTTCAAGAGATGATTCAGAGGCAATGATATTAAGCCTCAACATATAGGCGTTTCCCACGGAATTAGCAACTAGCTTACAGCACAATTGAGAAGATAATACAGTGGACTTGGAAGTACTCTTCATTGCCGACAACGAAGATCTTGGGCACGGAAAACTCCACAGCAGCACTTAGAGAAGAATGCGAAAGACTAGGATATACTAGATCATAACGGAGCCTCCAAGAAGAATCATTCTTCGATACTAGGTGAATTTTGGCATGGTAACATGGAATTAGGCGCCTTAGAGCAAAGTCCAGGGGGCAACCAGTTCGGGAAGACCCAATCACGGAATTGTTGAGATGTCGGGCCGGGCTGGAGGGACTGGTAAGGATAGACGATGTAAACATACAATTGATCTAGCCAAGTTTCAACCAGTTTTTATATAAACCTACATATCATCACTATGGTATAATAAATGCCCTAAATTATAAGAAACCATTATAATACTAATTACAGCCCATTTATCATCGAACGGCTTTCTCGATGCACTGTAACAATATCACGTTAACATCAAGCAAACCCCTGTTTCCTGAGCAATGGCTCGCCACGAACTCATGGGACTCTTGTTGGACGATGGACCTTGCTTCCAAATTTGGTTCACCACTTCAATGCCCGTCCTGGCCGCCGCAAAACCATACACTTCTACAGCGTTGTGCCAAGTTCGGAACCGCTCCTGATGAGCCTTGTCGAATGCTTCGGTCGCGGCGATGAATGCCGGCCAGAACAAGGGTGCGGCGAGAGTGTTGGTCTGCGTCTTGATATTTTCGATCGCTTCAATGCTCTCGAGAACTGTCTCGATGTACTGACGCAGGTATCGGTAACTCAGGAGGCGGATGTTCTGGGAGAAATATATGACGAGAGCGTGATAAAATGACCTTGTCTGGTGGTAGATGATTTTGGAGTTTATTTCGGCATGCAATGATTGGCACCGAACTAGCTGTTCTTCTAACGGCCAGTCTACTATAACTCTTGAAGTCAGTTACCTCCGTTTTATGCGTGATCTTTAGACTTTCGAAACGGAATCGGGAGAAGGTTATAGGGTCCTATTCTCGATCACGAGGATGGGGGGGCGCTTCGTACTCCAGGATAAATGAATCGGAAAATTACTCACAAATATTCCTCTCGAGTTCGTCGCACGAGATACTCAACTCCTCAGGTATGAAGGAGCTTCCACTCTTGCCCCTTGCGTCGTCCACCAAGCTAATAAGCTCGATTGTCTCTTTCAATAGAATTAGAAGCCTTTGTGGTAAACCGTAGATGAATTCATATGTATCCATCTCAATTGCTGGGTTATCTTGTACAGACGATGCTGACATGGGAGTTTCGATGGCACTGCATGAATCAGGATCCGACCCGCCTCGCAGGCTACGCAGGGTTGAGAAACGAGAGCTGCTGCTTTGGCGCGCTCACGCTGTGCTTTCATATATCACCCTTAGGTAATAGTAAATTCGATGAAGGGATTTGGCCTCCTTAGAGAATCTCCTCTTTCGAATACTCATATGTTTGATGAGTTGTTCGGCGCCATCTAGATGAACACCACAAGTGCTAGTCTCTCCTGACATGACCTACAGACCGGGTTAGAGGAATTTATAATGAAATTATGATTGGAAAGATTGACGTACGTTAATGGTGATCATTGACAACATTGTGGCAAGAAATT